CTTTTAGAGCTTTTCTGTGGTTCTGCATCTGCTGGGGGAGGCTTGACTGCTCTCAGACATGGTTTTAATGGCCTGGGGACAGGACAAAACCCCGAGGTTTCCTTAATGACCTTTCAGGGCTCCATCCTCCTGGGATTGTGCCAACCCTTTGAAGGGGGTTCTGGCCTTCATACGCCACCTCCTTGCCTCTTTGGGCCTCTGTGGTGTACCTTTTCCAGCCTCTGTCCTCTCAGGGTGTCTGGAGGCCCAACGTTTGCATTCAGCTTGATGACAAATGCTGTCCCTCGAAGGTTAAGAATGTGGGCTGGGAGTCAGGCATCTTCATGTTCTAGTTCTGACTGTATCACTTGCTAGCTGTTTGACCTTGGGCAAGTCACAAACCTTCTCTGTAACTTAGTTTCCTCATCCACATAGTGGGGATAATGGATCTCGTCTCCTGGACTGTGTGGATAGTAAAAGAGGTACAGAGTTTGGCACACAGTGAGCATGCAGTAAGTCTAGCTCTGCTGATTCTCTAGCACCTGTCATTTGTCTTGCCTCTCAGGTGTGGTCCACAGGCCAGCAGCCCTGGCATCCCCTGGAAGCTGGGTAGAAATGGAGCCTCTCAGGCCCATCTGCACCCATTGCATCAGAATCTGCATTTTTACCAGACTCAGCGATCCTTTTGTACTTTGCAGTTTGAGAAGCAGTGTTGTATGTCACTCCTGAAGAGCAGCGTCTGTAGCGGCACGTACCTCTTACATGCAAGGAATTTTCCCTTAGTGCTCCTTTCCTGATGGAGCATGTCTTGGCTGCAGTCATACCTGGGACAAGTCCCAGATAATGATCATCTTTGTCAAAACCTGTTTCCTGAGCACACGCTTCCTGGGCTTTGGAGAGTTCAGGTGCTCAGACAGTGCCGGGGTTGAGGTGGGTGCCATGTAGGTGAAACAGTTCAGTGCCTGCAGTGAAGGATGTGCAGGTCGTTGTTTTACATTCTGTAGGGGCTGAAGAATCTAGGCTTTGAGAGCTGAGTGCGTGTCAGGGAAATTGTACTGGGGCAGAATCACTGTCCTTCCTGTCCTGGTGAGTGCTGTTTCAAATGCACTTTGTGGAACAGAGGCCTTGTTCATTTTAGCACTCTTTATCCATAGAAAGTACTTATTGATGCCTGATCCTCCCCCATGTATGTATTCCTTTGATAATTTGTCCCGGGTTGGGGGGAGGCGGAGAGGGATGAGGGTTTCTAGGGTCAATTATCTCGGAAGAAGTGGGTTCAGTGGACTTTGGAAGGCAAGCCTTGGCTGGGCAGGGGAGAGACGCAGCTTTCTTCTGTGTAACAACTGAGTGTCCTTGATGATGCACCCAGGTGGAGGGAAAGTTGGCCTCTGATCCGTGAAGTGATGTAGAGCAGGCAGGGGACCGTCCTACTGTGGTTCTCACACTGGGTCTGGTGAATTCAGTCACCTGAGGAGGTACTCCCTTCCACCTTGAAATGTAGATTTCTAGGCCTGGCCCTTCTAATTCAGTAGGTTTTAGGTTGTATCTTAGTATGAATAGATAATAAAGAAATCCCGCACTGATACATGCAGGTTCGGGTGCCGCAGCTGTAGAGCTGTGAAGATGAGTCTGTCTCGTGAGCCACCATCTAGATATGTGCTGGGGCCATGGTCAAATCCTAATTGGCTTTGGCCAGGTCTCAGCCACGGATGGGAGTAACAGGCCTTTGTCCACAAGCTGTTGGTTGTGTGGCCTTGCCTTCGCCATCTCAGCCTGTCACACTTCTGGGAGAAGGCCTGCTCCAAGTAGCTGGCAGGGTCCAATGAGTCCTGCCCCTGACTGATAGGGAGACAGATGGCAACAGTGACTGAGGGTCCAGAGGCAGGTCCCAGCCATTCTCAGCCTCACTCTGCTCTGGATGGGGGAATCTCAGAAAATGGTGAGGAAAGTCTTCTTTTCCTTCCTGGCATCCCTGAAAAGCAAGTCCAGAGAAGAACCCCAAATTCCCTGGGGAAGAGCAGGAGAAGCAGAAGTGACCTTATGGGGAGGGGGTTGGGAAGCGGGGGGGGGACAAGGATCCTTTGGGCCGAGGACCTGAGCCTCAGCTGGGCTGGTAACATAATGCATCGTCTTTCATCGAGGGGTTGGAGGGAGAGGCGAGGATCCCATTCTGTCTCAGCCAACTGAGACGATAAGATAGGAACGGGAATTTTCTTTTGTCTCTTTTTCCTATTACGACAGTGATATATGGCTCTTATAAAAAATTCAAACAGGACAAAAATAGGCAATGCGGGAAGTGATAGTTCCCTGCACCCTCACTCTGCAGAGATAACCACTGTTACTGCTGTGGTGTGTGGAGTGTGACTAGCTGGGGCGTAGGACCCCTGACCCTTATGCCCAAGTGAAGGATGTCTGTGCTTGCGGATTCCCGTCGCTCAGGGCTTGGTGGGTCTGCGGCTGGAGTCCATATACTTCTCTTTGCCCCACCTCCCAGAATCTTTCTGTGCTAAATGAGGCCTGGTCCAGGTTTGGGCAAGGTGACTTGGCCTTGAAAGAGTTAAAGGGTCAGGCCCAAAGTGGACGTTGGGTTGGGAAAGCAGGGGTATGAGGATGTTGATGCTAGCTGGTTTGTCTTTCTATTAAATGTCTCCTCGTGCCCCCAGACACATCCTCACACGCATCCCGTCAGTCTGTCTCTCAGCTCTCTTCTCCACTCCCTGCCCCTCCTCCCCCCCATCTTTCCTCCCTGTGCCTGCTCATCACCGAGAGCAGCACGTAAACACCCACACACCCTTTGAGCATAGCCCTCCGCCCTCCCTGCCTGTGCCACCGTCTGTCCTGACCCAGCCTTACTGGGGGTGGTCTCTCCGGTTTGGGAGGGAAAACGAACAGCCCAGGCTCCCTTCACTTAGGCCATCCAGTGGTCCCCAAGCAGAGGCTGGGTGCATAGCCCGCAATGGACACCTAAGAGGTTAGTCATGGTGGACTCTTCCAAAGGGGTGCAATTGGAAGTGTCTCTGGGAAGACCTTTTCTTTTCTTTTTCTTTTTTTTTTTTTAAAGTCACAGCATTTAAACCTACCACCACCACCAAGCCCTTGCAGTGACTGATTTCTGGACATTTGGATGTGCAGGGACTTTCATACAAAAGACCTCCCACTTAATGTCTGTGAGAAGCTCAAGGAGCTGGTGTTGCGGGGTGAGCGGATCTTAGGTGGGAGATGACCACCACAGCATGGACTGAGGCGTGTGGGGTGTGGTACAGTGTGTAGTGTTTGTGTGTGGTGTGGTGTGTGTATCCTCTGAGGGACTTGGAGCCCTTCAGTGACCAATTTGACCACCTCCACCGGGCTTTATTCCACGATCATGCTTGGTTGGCTGAGTCCAGAATTCTATGCTGGAAGCTTTTCCTTCAGAGTTTTGAAGGCATGACTCCATATGGTGCCCAGTGTTACTAATGAGGACCTGATGCTATTCTAATTCCTGAATGTACAAATGTGTCTCCCCTCTTTGGAAACCTTCAGGGTCTCCTGAATGTACAAACCTGGTGCTCTGAAACCTTGCAGTGATACCTGCTGGCTGGGTCTTTCCAGCTGCATGCTTGTGGGCCCTTCTGTGCTGGTGCTCATGTCCTTCAGGAGAACTTTCTTGTATTGTTTCTTTCATGATCTCTTGCTCATTGTGTTCTCTGTGTGCTCACTGTGTCTTCTTTTTTTAATTAATAGAGTTTAGCTTTAGTTTTAGGTTTACAGAAAAACAAGTGGAAAGTACAGAGAGCTCCTGTATATATTCCCTCACGCCCCCTCCTGCTCTAGTTTCCTCTATTATTAACCTCTTACATTAGTGTGGTACATTTGTTATGAATGATGAGCCAATAGCAATACATTATTATTAATTAGAGTCTCCTTCCTGGCTGCTTGTTCTTGGATAAGTTACTTCACCACAGAGCTTTGACCTCCTGATCTGTAAAATCCCAGGTTTGTTGTGAGGTGTAAATGGAAGGGAGATGAGCACCCCCGCATTCCTTTGTCACACACGGTAGGTGCTTACAGATGAGTGAGTGCTCTTTCCC